AGTCCAATCAACGTCAGCTAAATATGATGTGGCTGTCCATGGTTCTGATTTCTGGGTGTGCATGTGCGTGTTCGTCCAAGTAGAAAAACATGTTGACTCACCCTACTTGTAGAGAAACGCTAATGCCATCCTCCTCTCTTTCATGTTGACGAAACGGTCTATCACTCTGTCATACAATACACTCTTTTATTTTTTGTTGTCCTAAGCTACCTGGCTGAAATGTTTTCTTGCTAGCCTAACATCCATTCATGGGCAACGTTAGCTAGTTAACATTAGCTTTCTACATCTACAGTGGGGAAAAAAAGTATTTAGTCAGCCACCAATTGTGCAAGTTCTCCCACTTAAAAAGATGAGAGAGGCCTGTAATTTTCATCATAGGTACACGTCAACTATGACAGACAAATTGAGAAAAATTTTTCTCCAGAAAATCACATTGTAGGATTTTTAATGAATTTATTTGCAAATTATGGTGGAAAATAAGTATTTGGTCACCTACAAACAAGCAAGATTTCTGGCTCTCACAGACCTGTAACTTCTTCTTTAAGAGGCTCCTCTGTCCTCCACTCGTTACCTGTATTAATGGCACCTGTTTGAACTTGTTATCAGCATAAAAGACACCTGTCCACAACATCAAACAGTCACACTCCAAACTCCACTATGGCCAAGACCAAAGAGCTGTCAAAGGACACCAGAAACAAAATTGTAGACCTGCACCAGGCTGGGAAGACTGAATCTGCAATAGGTAAGCAGCTTGGTTTGAAGAAATCAACTGTGGGAGCAATTATTAGGAAATGGAAGACATACAAGACCACTGATAATCTCCCTCGATCTGGGGCTCCACGCAAGATCTCACCCTGTGGGGTCAAAATGATCACAAGAACGGTGAGCAAAAATCCCAGAACCACACGGGGGGACCTAGTGAATGACCTGCAGAGAGCTGGGACCAAAGTAACAAAGCCTACCATCAGTAACACACTACGCCGCCAGGGACTCAAATCCTGCAGTGCCAGACGTGTCCCCCTGCTTAAGCCAGTACATGTCCAGGCCCGTCTGAAGTTTGTTAGAGTGCATTTGGATGATCCAGAAGAGGATTGGGAGAATGTCATATGGGATGAAACCAAATAGAATTTTGGTAAAAACTCAACTCGTCGTGTTTGGAGGACAAAGAATGCTGAGTTGCATCCAAAGAACACCATACCTACTTTGAAGCATGGGGGTGGAAACATCATGCTTTGGGGCTGTTTTTCTGCAAAGGGACCAGGACGACTGATCCGTGTAAAGGAAAGAATGAATGGGGCCATGTATCTTGAGATTTTGAGTGAAAACCTCCTTCCATCAGCAAGGGCATTGAATATGAAACGTGGCTGGGTCTTTCAGCATGACAATGATCCCAAACACACCGCCCGGGCAACGAAGGAGTGGCTTCGTAAGAAGCATTTCAAGGTCCTGGAGTGGCCTAGCCAGTCTCCAGATCTCAACCCCATAGAACATCTTTGGAGGGAGTTGAAAGTCTGTGTTGCCCAGCGACAGCCCCAAAACATCACTGCTCTAGAGGAGATCTGCATGGAGGAATGGGCCAAAATACCAGCAACAGTGTGTGAAAACCTTGTGAAGACTTACAGAAAACGTTTGACCTGTGTCATTGCCAACAAAGGGTATATAACAAAGTATTGAGAAACTTTTGTTATTGACCAAATACTTATTTTCCACCATAATTTGCAAATAAATTCATTAAAAATCCTACAATGTGATTTTCTGGATTTTTTTTCTCATTTTGTCTGTTATAGTTGACGTGTACCCATGATGAAAATTACAGGCCTCTCTCATCTTTTTAAGTGGGAGAACTTGCACAATTGGTGGCTGACTAAATACTTTTTTTCCCCACTGTAGCTACATATTGAACTTCCATCCTCTCAGGCCAGGGGCACAACGATGCATGAATTAATGGGTCAGAATTGCCGTTATAAACATTGGCCAGTACGGAGAATTAAGTAAAACCACAAGTCCAAATCCCTATCTCCATCCATGGCTAATTTAGGAAAGGGCCAATTTTAGCTAGCTGGCTAGCTAGCCACCGGAGGACAACAACACTACGAGATGCAACAATTCAAGTTTTTCTGTCAATGACATATGCTCTCAATGGGATTTGATAGGAGTGACGCCAAATCCAAGCTGTCTCCCATTGACACTTTTTTTTGGCAAGGGAAGCCAGCGAGCATCTGGCCTCCCTTGCATCTGGCCTCCCCTTCAATCCTATGGGCGGCAACAATGTCATACTCGTTTGGACCAGACAGCATCAGATAGATGGCCTACACGTAGAGAGACAGAGAGGCGCTGTTTTGCTCGCTCGGATGCTTTCTCCTGTGAGATACATTCAGCCTCTTGCGAATTGAAGGACATTTATGAAACACAGAGAGACGAAAAATAAATTTTATTTGTAATTTTTTTATTGGTTATTTTTGGGGGGAAGCCTGGCTTCCATGAATACATGCCACTGCCTACAGGTTATGGTACACTTGGTATTTTAGTATTTCTCCAGTAGGTTTCCTGAAGGAGAAAGCCTCCACTTCTATGTCAAAGATAATAAAATAATAAATTATAGCAAATACTACAGTAATGTCTGCAAACACACTACAGTAAATACTACAGTATACCACAATCTGTAATAACACTACATTAATTACTCTAGTATATGCTACAGTTTTCTTTTACTACAGTATTTATACTATAAGTTACTATAAATACTATGTCCCATTTGGCTCAGTTGGTAGAGCATGGTGCTTGCAACGCCAAGGTTGTCGATTCGATTCCCATGGGGAAAATGAATGCACTCACTACTGTAAGTTGCTCAGGATAAGCACATCTGCTAAATTACTAAAATGAACAGTCTGCATAAATACTACAGTATACTACAATCTGCAAAAACACTACATGAATTGCTATAGTATATACTACAGTTTTCTTTTACTATAGTTAACTGTGAGTACTACAATATACTCCAGGAAATACTCAAGTTCAGGCTACAATTATGTCATCTACTCCATTTCACTCAGTACAATACCTACTGCCATGAAATCTTGGAAATCTGCTCAAAATTATTAATGTGGGGCCAGAGTGTGCGTGTATGCATACGCTTGAAAATATGCATGTGTGTGTGTGTGTGCTCGTGTGTGTGCTCGTGTGTGTGTCTAACATAAGCTGGGATTCACAAGGCCCCCTGGCCAAGAATAGCCTCTCCTATTTGGGAAAGCAGAAGTGATGTTGTTATGCTGGATAACTGTCGGATGGGGGGAGAGAGAGAGAGAGAGAGAGAGAGAGAGGGAGGGGTTAGGAGGGAGAGAGAGAGAGAAGAGAGAGAGAGCAAAATGGAGAGAAAGCAAGAGAGAGGAGAGGCAGAGACAAGGAAAAAATATATATCAATATACAGCAACATAGAGAGAGAGAGTAAGAAGAGAAAGGGATACGCAACAAGAGAGAAAGAGAGAGAGTGAGGGAGATGGAGAAAGTGAGAGAGAGTCAGAGACAGAGAGACAGAGAGTGTAAGACGAAGAGAGAAGGGAGAGATGGAGAGAGAGGAGAGGGTATAGGTTACATAACAGCGTCTAGACACCAATAACAGTTCAAAGGGCTTGTTGGAGGCAGAGTTAATTAGCTAGCTTGATTGCTTGAGAACTGCTCTCTGCATAAATCCAGGAGAGGTTGATTATCTCCTCCTAATTCTTCTCTTTCATCTTCCCCTCTTTCCTGAAGCTTCTCGATCCTAAGCCACATTGTGTGTGTGAGTGTGTGTATGCGTGCATGCATGTGTGTGTGTGTGTTTATTTCCAGATAGGATTTACATGCTAATGGCATTTCTTTCGGGGTGACAAACCTCTTCATGAAAACAGCCGACTGTGGTTGGTTAGGATTCACATGAACTATTCTAAAAGCAGGAACCTGGACACCTTGTAGCTCTGTAGGACCAGGTCTGGTGACCACTGTGGTAAGCTGTTGATACTGAGTGTCTAGCTACAGTTATTCTGAAACTCTCTCTCACGGCTGAGGGAAGCAGCTGTTGCCCCTGACAACCTGTCTCTGGGCTCTGATAGGATGTGGAGCTGTGGCTGTGGAGCTGTCCATGATGCTGAACGATCTATCATCTTCTAACAATCTACTCCTCTGACTATCATTGTTATGCCATACATATACAGATACAGACCTGAATCAGGCTAGCATAGCAAATGTGTTCCATTCACTGCTGGTCCGTATTCACAAAGTGTTTCAGAGTAAGGAGTACTGATCAAGGTTCAGTTTTGCCTTTAAGACAATAATGAAAATGATTATATGGACAGGGTGGACCTGATCCTATATCAATCCTACTCTGAGACTCTTTGTGAATAAATACAAGCCCTGGATTGCATAGTATTGTGTGGTGGGGGTGCACACAGAACAGAGACAATTAGGGTTTGTTTTATGATCATAATAAAATGCCAGTTCATCCACAGAGACCACTAATGACCGCAGTGTGGTGAATTCTTTATAATGAATATGTACAATTGAAAGAGAGACTATAGAGAGAGGTATAAGACATAGTGTACTGTATGTTCGGCCATATTTCTTTCAACAAACAAAAACAGCACAGCGGGCGGTAACACACGCATGCACACACACACTGAGCAGAAAGAGAAGTCTGCTGTAAGTGAAACTAGGGCAGAAAATCGACTGCTGGTTAGGGGCCAAGAACAGTAGAGACACTATTATAAGCTAATGTGGTGGACTGTGTTAGAGAACATTTACATAGTTACACCCCTGCCTCCTGACAACACACGCACGCACACACACACTCTTCACAGGAATACTAAAGCCAGGGTAGAATGAGAAAGAATAAGAATAAGATATGCAGATAGAACATGGAGGGGATAGAGACAGAAACGAAAGCTCATGTAATAAGAGAGAAATGAGAGAGAGAACGAGTGAGAGATAGGGAAAATAAAATATAAGTACCTCCACGACACTCACTGTCAGCTGGTTTCACTTGGATGGGACGAGTCATCTGCAGAGAGAGAGAGAGAGCAGGGTGAGAGGAGAAAGAAAGAAAGAAAGAAAAAAAGAAAAAAAAAGGGAAAAGAAAGAAAAAAAAAAGAAAGAAAAAAAAAAGGAAAAGAAAAGAAAAGAAAAACAGCGGGACAGACAACAGACAGACAGACATACAGACAAGAAGAAAGAAAGAAAGAAAGAAAGAAAGAAAATACAGACAGACAGACAGACAGACAGACAGACAGACAGACAGACATACAGACAGACAGACGACAGACAGACAGACAGACAGACAGACCAGAAAGAAAGAAAAAAAGAAAGAAAGAAAGAAAGAAATAGAAGAAAGAAAGAAGAAAAAAAAAACAGACAGACAACAGACAGACAGACGACAGACAACCAGACAGACATACAGCAACAGACAGACAGAACAGACAGACACAGACAGACATAAATAAAGAAAGAAAGAAAGAAAGAAAGAAAGAAAGAAAGAAAGAAAGAAAGAAGAAAGAAAAACAGACATACACAGACAGCAGACATACAGACAGACAGACAGACAGACAGAAAGAAAGAAAGAAAGAAAGAAAGAAAGAAAGAAAGAAAGAAAGAAGAAAAACAGACAGACAGACAGACAGACAGACAGACAGACAGACAGACAGACAGACAGACAGACAGACAGACAGACAGACAGACAGACAGACAGACAGACAGACAGACAGAAAGAAAGAAAGAAAGAAAGAAAGAAAGAAAGAAAGAAAGAAAGAAAGAAAGAAAGAAAGAGAGAAAGAAAGAAAGAAAGAGGTGGTTAATCTCATCAATCATAATTTTTTATCATCCTTTCTGTATTTTTCTCTCCATTCCTCCACTAGATTGATAGGGACCAACCATTACCCCAATATAAACCTCTCCACCTAACGTATCTCAGATTCATACATATGGAACTGAGCATGGAGAAAATGTTGACGTAGTAAAATGTAGGAGGACCCCAGGCAATGAAGGTTTCCCTGTAGAACATGTGGTGTTTGTTCTTTCACACTGTTAAATCACACACAACCATGTTCCTCTTCCTAGTTATAGTCACAGGGAGTCAAGTAGGGTTAGGTGTGTTGTACATACTCATACAGAAAACTGTCAGGTTTCTGAAAGAGCTGGTTGTGTGAGGAGAGAACCCTGTCTGCTGACCGAGAGAGAGAGTGTGTGTGTGTGTCTGTGTCTGTGTGTGGGCGAGAGCTTGTGTGTGCATGAAAAAGCACTTGTGCGCATGTCTGTGTGTGTGTTGGCATAAGAATGACACGGCTGTCACAAGAGATTCTCCAGTCAGGCATCGCTGCCATAAGAACATGCCAAGCCGTGATATGCAGAGAAAGCTCTGAACCGAGGCAAAAGTAGGGCCTTATATAGTCGGTTAAATTTTTTGCCAGGTTCCTTAAAACTTTCCCCCCAAATTCGTTTTCTCCACTTTGTTTTTCCAGGTTTCAGTTTTTCCCATTTTCCAGGGTTTTTTTGCCCTCAAAATCACACTTTATTAATAGAAAAACAACACAATTGGATGTTCTAAGTCCACAACAATGCTAAAACCACATCAGGAGATCACTTTCTAGTCCTGGCAAAAATTTCGATTTTTGCCAGCCAGAGACCATTGTTTGGTTAGTAATGTTTCTGTACTGCTCATGTGATTGCAGAGTTTGCAAAACAAATGGCCACTGGATTGATGCAAATAATCATGATATCATTTTGCCAGGTAGGCATAGGCTACTTTGTGTAACATTTAATTGAGCAGGTGTTAGGGAAAGCCTTTCCATCTACCAGAAGACGGTTGTCATTACAAGAGCATAATCGCTAACGGCTACACAAAGTGATAGACAAACTCGCACACACAGATAGGGGCATTCCTGTACCATTATCTCTTCAGAAAGTTGAAGGTAAATACGAATCACTAATGCATTTTGTTCATGTCTTATGATAATTTTGGGCAAATTAATGCATTTTCTAATAAGTTCAATACTTTTAGTTGATTTCCTACTAAGTTCAATAAAAAAATTAAAAAATTGAATTCTGTTTTAATGTCTGGATTCATTGATTCCGGCCGCGTTCTCCGCAACGTGGATTTTATAGGGCCCTACAAATGGAAACAGCACCTTAATTGGGGAGGACGGGCTCATGGTAATGGCTGGAGTGGAATAGGTGGAATGATATCAAATACATCAAACACATTCCATTTACTCCTTTCCAGCCATTATTATGAGCCATCCTCCCCTCAGCAGCCTCGACAGGTAGACACACACACACATCACACACATTACACTATAAAGACACACAGCACAGCCCTTAGATACCAACTAGCCTCAGGTTACGATACACACATGAACATACACACAAACACACACATGAACGCACACACACACACACACACACACTTTGTATTGTCTTCTGTGTGTTGACTCCCAAAAAGAGTAGCTGTTGCTAACTAAAACAAATGGGAAACCATGCAAATAAAGAAATGTGGAATTCAAAATATTTCCAGTAACTTTGCCTGTTTGTGTCTTTGATGATATATCCCTGTACACATAGCTCTCCCTGAGTTGTTTGTCTGCTCTGCATCCCAGGCTGCATGTATTAGCAGTGTGTTTAACTGGGAGCAGTCTATTGCAAACACAGTTGTTGTGAGGCTGATCTGCAGCCCTTTGGGGTCCTAATATTTCTGATTTAACTTTGTTAAATAATAGATGACTGCTGATTCTTCCAGGGAAGGGTCTGTTGCTGCTGCCGGACTTCGGGGAGCGTTCTCCTAGTGAGATAAAACGCTCTCACAGAAAGAAATAGAGTACATTAATACACAAGCTCTCTGAGGAAGAGTAAACATGCCTGTGTGTAAGTGTGTACAACTACGACGTCTTCATGTGTTCTTGGAAAGCAAGAAGAATTCTCTCTCTATTGGAAAACCTGGCCTATATTAATAACGTTTTACATCTCGGAAAGCACTGTAGCAATTAAAACCAATATAGACAGGCAGTGTAGACAGGCAATATACTGTAGTTGGACACAGTCAAAGAGAGAAAAAATGATGAGAAAGAGAGAGGGATGAGAAAGAGAGGGGAGTGAGAGAGAAAGAGTTAGAGAGATGAGAGAAACAGAGAAGAGGGCCAAACATGTGAGATAATGAGAGACTCAGCAGCGACAGCGAAGGTCATGGCCATCAACCTGAGGGAAGAGCAGCTCTGTCACATCACACACACACACACACACACACACACACACACACACACACACACACACACACACACACACACACACACACACACACACAAACATATCTGGAGCAAAACATGAGTAATGTATTTGACTTGAGACTGGTGAACTCCCCTGCAGTTTGGACATACAGTTTCAGTCAAAAGTTTGGACACCTACTCATTCAAGGGTTTTTCATAATTTTTTACAATGTTTTACATTGTAGACTAATAGTGAAGACATCAAAACTATGAAATAACACATATGGAATCATGTAGTAACCAAAAAAATATATTTTCTATTTGAGAGCCACCCTTTGCTCTTGGCATTCTCTCAACCAGCTTCACCTGGAATACTTTCCCAACAGTCTTGAAGGCGTTCCCACATATGCTGAGCACTTGTTGGCTGCTTTTCCTTCACTTTGCGGTCCGACTCATCCATCTCAATTGGGTTGAGGTCGGGGGATTGTGGAGGCCATCTGATGCAGCACTCCATCACTCTCCTTCTTAATAAAATAGCTCTTACACAGGCTGGAGGTGTGTTGGGTCATTGTCCTGTTGAAAAACAAATTATAGTCCCACTAAGCCCAAACCAGATGGGATGGCGTATCGCTGCAGAATGCTGTGGTAGCCATGCTGGTTAAGTGTGCCTTGAATTCTATATAAATAACCGACAGTGTCACTAGCAAAGCACCCCCACCCATAACACCTCCTCATCCATGCTTTACGGTGGGATCTACACATGCAGAGATCATCCGTTCACCCACACCACGTCTCACAAAGAATAGGCGGTTTGAACTGAAAGTCTCCAATTTGGACTACAGACCAAAGGACACATTTCCACTGATCTAATGTCCATTGCTCGTGTTTCTTTGCCCAAGCAGGTCTCTTCTTCTTATTGCTGTCCTTTAGTAGGGGTTTCTTGGCAGCAATTCGACCATGAAGGCCTGATTCACACAGTACCCTCTGAACAGTTGATGTTGAGCTGTGTCTGTGACTTGAACTCTGTGAAGCATTTATTTGGGCTGCAATTTCTGAGGCTGGTAATTCTAATGAACTTATCCTCTGCAGCAGAGGTAACTCTGGGTCTTCTATTCCTGTGGCGGTCCTCATGAGAGCCAGTTTGGCTTGATTGTTTTTGCGACTGCACTTGAAGAAACCTTAAAGGTTCTTGATGTTTTTCGTATTGACTGATCTTCATGTCTTAAAGTAATGATGGACTGTCATTTCTCTTTGCTTATTTGAGCTGTTCTTGCCATAATATGGACTTGGTCTTTTACCAAATAGGGCTATCTTCTGTATACCCCCCCACCTTGTCACAACACAACTGATTGGCTCAAATGCATTAAGAAGGAAATAGATTCCACAAATTAACTTTTAACAAGGCACACCTGTTCATTGAAATGCATTACAGGTGACTACCTCATGAGGCTGGTTGAGAGAATGCCAAGAGTGTGCAAAGGGTGGATATTTGAAGAATCTCTCTAAAATATGTTTTGATTTGTTTAACACTTTTCTGGCTACTACATGATTCCATATGTGTCTTCACTATTATTCTACAATGTAAAAAATAGTAAAAATAAAGAAAAACCCTTGAAGGAGTAGGTGTGTCCAAACTTTGACTGGTAGTGTACATATCCAATGTTGTGCACTTATCATGAGTTTACTGTGCTGTAAAAGTGTAGAGTAACAGAGAGGGATTCTGAGGTAGAACCCATTAACACACACACACACACACACACACACACACACACACACACACACAGTATATCCATGTGTCATCACCTGTGTCTTTTGATAATGATTCCGTCAGAGTAAGGATCACCATGTGGAACAACACTATGTCGTGTCTAATCTGTTTCCATGGACTGCATTAATGAGAACACAAGTTGCAAGGGGAGCGTAAATCACAATGGCACCACTCATGGGGCTCTACTATAGCCTAGTGGCCTGGCTCAGGTTGTGAATCCATCAATGTGAGGCAGAAATGTCACGAGCCAGTCCATAATAGATTGTAAACATTGTATCAACAATACACAAGCATTCGGTAAGACACAGACATAGAATTTCTGGTGGCACACTGTTAAAATGAATCTGTGTGTACTGTGTGTGTGTGTTTGTGCAAAACCTTTCCGCTGTTTTGAATAGGCTCTTTGAAATGATACCTCCCCTCGTTTATCTATGCCATAAAAGACTAATCGATTCATAAAAACTTCCCATGCCCTTTCAATCGTCACACTAAACACTTGTTTTAATGGCAGTCTGTCTGTCTAACCTACACCCCACCAAATCTATTATTAAGCCAAATTAATTTTGCATTACAACATCGCAGATGAATAATAGATCAGAAGTGAGGGATAAGAGAGAGAGGGGAGGGAGAGAGAGAGAGAGAGAGAGGAGGGCGAGACATGCAGAGACATGCAGCTGCACAGCGCAAGCAGCCAATTATTTCTGATGAAGCTGTCACTCCTCCAGGAAAAGGAGAGAAGGATGAGAAAGAAAGAGAGGGATGTGAGAGGAAGGGAAACGGCAATTAGAGACGAGTGAAAACCTCCTCTGCGCGTGCACACACACACACACACACACACACACACACACACACACACACACACACACACGACAGAGAGAGCTAGGATTTGAGAGAAAGAGTGGGGTGAGAAATAACTAGATACACCATTGGAGGGAGGGAGAGAGATAGTGAGAGAGAGAAAGAGATAGAGAGAAAGATATAGTAAGACAGAAAGAGAGAGGAAGAGACCGGGAGAGAGCGAGAGACAGGGGGAGGGAAAGAGAGAGCGACAGGGGGAGAGGAGAGTGGCTTTAATATGGGTTAGTGGGCGTGAGAAGAGCAAGCTGTTATTGTCCATTTCACGCTGCGTTGGGGGTTTGGCCCTGTTGTAGTACTTGATACAATCCATTTGAACTTCCCATCTTGTATGTAGGCTATGTGTCTGAAACTCAGTGAGTGAGTGAGTCGGAGAATCCCAAACCACCCCCTTGCCCCTACCAACTCGCTCGGAGTGCCCTCCGTTGTCAAGTGTTTCTGACGAAACTCCGAAGGTGACTTCCAGAGACGGGCGATGGGATCAGCAAACCCATCAACTTCGGGACACACTCCTGACTTGAATGATTCAATTCATGTTCCACTTTTAAATAATAAAACAAGCATGGAATTCAATTGAACAAATCCCCCTGTAGTTTTACAAGATATAAACCTCAGTAACAGTTAGACATTTAATTTGGGAGATATTTTATCTGTTACATGTGTCAAGTCTCGAAATCAGACATAAATAAATGCACGTGGAATAAAATAAGGTACGCCTCTCCATTCTTTTGTATCAAATTGTGCAAACTCCTAACATATCGCAGTGCGTGTCGGGATAGCACCTCTGCCATTTGCACAAGTGTCCCAAAGTGGCTAAGTGGCTATTAGCCCCTACACCCGCATTAATTTTCACTCCCTGTGCTTTGGGACACTTGTGCAAATGGCAGAGGCGGGTGTGAATGGAAATGGAGGGCCGAGGGCAAGGGGCAGTCTCTCTGTCTCCTTCCTTTGCTTCTCCCCCTCCTTCCCTCCCTCTCCCTCCCTCTCTCTCTCTCTCTCTCTCTCTCTTTCGCTCTCTCTCACTATGGATCGATTTCGGTGCCAAAATAAATTGTATTTGAATTCCAAAATTTAGAATTTGTATTAGGATATAGAATTTGAATGTTAAATTTTTTAATCTGTAATGCACAATTCTAATCACTTAAATCATAAATTAAACTTGTATTTCATGATATGAAACTGAATTGAATAAATATTGCATTCAGTTTTAAAATTATATTCCAAATTCAATATTTGTATATTCAGTTTCAATATGGTAGATAATGCATTCATTGTCTGTGTATCAAGTTTACAAACTATAATTTCAAGTTCATCAAAGTTTCATATATTCAACTTCTCAGATGCGTTCAGATTCAGTTTTCAAATTCAGTTCTCTAAATTCAAATTCAAAACCAGAGACAAAATCCTGGTACTTTGCCAGCCAGTAAAGGTAGAGGAGAACAGAGAGAATCAAACTCTCTCTGTGGTAAACAGAAGCTTATGGTGGTTTCTGAATCCAATGTGGCATGCTGAATATATTTTCCCATTTAATTAGAGTGCAACAGAGGTGGTTTGGTGATCCATGCATGTGATGAGCAATGTTGCCTGAGACCTGATGATGTGTTAATTTGACTGACTGGGGTTCTAACCCAGGTCTCCTGTGCGCTAGACATGATACTCATCACGCGAGCGTGGTCACCAAACGACCTGTGTTACACTTTACCCACATTTGACCTCCTTGAAGAGATTTATCCAAGTCAGAGGACCAATGCCTAGGCTTTAGTTCAGCAGGCTAACATAGGGGTGGAAGGTAGCCTAGCGGTTAAGAGAGTTGGACCAGTAACTGAAGGGTCGCTGGTTCGACTCGACGACTAAATGAAACATCTGTCGATGTGCCCTTGAGCAAGGCACTTAACCCTAATTGCTCCTGTAAGTTGCACTGGATAATAGTGTCTGCTAAAGGACAACTTTTTTTAACAAAAATGAATGGTCTTAACTCAATCAGTCATGTTACCTTTATAATTTCTTGGAACTGAAGGGCTTTTACAGTTGTGGCTAGATGGAGAACAGCTACAGACAGAAGTTACTTTACGTAGCAGGTTAGGAGAACTAACGCAGCAGGTTAGCAGAACTAACCCAGCAGGTTAGGATAAATAACATAGCAGGTTAGGAGAATTATGTTAAGGTTAGGAAAAGAGTTAGGCTTAGCTAAAATGCTACAGTTGTCCCTGATGTGACAACTACATGGAGCTGTACTCCATCTAGCCCCAACCGTAGAAGCCATCAGTATCACAACACCGGAGACTTGAAACTAACACATGTTTAACATAAACTAAGACAGGTTCCTCATCACATAAGCATGGATCACCAAACCACACTCTTTTGATGAGTAACCTTGCTGTATCTTGAAAACTATTGGTGTAGCAGATGGATATCTGTGAAACTCACTCCTCAGCCTGAAGTGTTGCCCCTTGCACAATTGAAGAAGTCCTTTTTTAATAGCACGATGGGTTGGAATGCTTCGGGAGTGTGGTCACGTGTGTTTTTAAGGCAGAAGTCCTTAATTCTGGGGTTGCTGTGAAGAAAGTTTGGGGGGTGACAACATGTCGAACTTATCCCTATGCTTTAGCTAAGTGGGCTAACACAGTCTTGTGACATGTAGGGGACCTGGTTCAAACCCAGTCAGTCACAAGAGCAAGATTAAATATGTAGTGGAAAGGCTATCCTAAGAAGGGCTATGACAGCGCTATTCAACTATATTCTTATGGATGCCAAATTCCGTTTTCTTTGTGACACTCCCATCTAACGTGTCCTTAGCGGGCTGTGATTTATTAGGGGAACGGAAGACACGTCCATGTTCCAGAGAGTCTTAGCTTTCAGGAATAATAACTTATAGCCAAAATGGTTCAAATGATAAAGCCAAATGAATAGGAAGAAAATATATTCAACATGCCACATTGGCTTCAGAAACTGCTAGAAGCTTATGTTTACCACAGAGAGAGTTTGACTCTATCTGTTCTCCTCTACCTTTCCTGGCTGGAACTGTACCAGGATGTTGTCTCTGGTTTTGAATCTGAATTTAGAGAACTGAAATTGAAAACTTCATCTGAATGCATCTGAGAAGTTGAATACAGTGGGGGAAAAAAGTATTTAGTCAGCCACCAATTGTGCAAGTTCTCCCACTGAGTTTGGAGCGATTTCAGTGCCAACAGAACTTGCATTAGGATTTGGAATTTGAATTTAATATTTTTTAAATTGTAATGCACAAATGTAATCACTTAATTCATAAATTGAACTTGTATTTCATGATTTCAAACTGAATTGAATGAATATTACATTCAGTTTTACAATGACATTTCAATTTAATTGAATATTCAAAGTCAATATTTATATATTCAGTTTCAATATGGTAGATATTTAATTCATGTCTGTTTATCAAGTTTACAAACTATCATTTCAAGTTTATCAAAGTTTTATATACAGTGGGGAAAAAAAGTATTTAGTCAGCCACCAATGGTGCAAGTTCTCCCACTTAAAAAGATGAGAGAGGCCTGTACTTTTCATCATAGGTACACGTCAACTATGACAGACAAATTGAGATTTCTTTTCCAGAAAATCACATTGTAGGATTTTTTATTAATTTATTTGCAAATTATGGTGGAAAATAAGTATTTGGTCAATAACAAAAGTTTCTCAATACTTTGTTATATACCCTTTGTTGGCAATGACAAAGGTCAAACGTTTTCTGTAAGTCTTCACAAGGTTTTCACACACTGTTGCTGGTATTTTGGCCCATTCCTCCATGCAGATCTCCTCTAGAGCAGTGATGTTTTGGGGCTGTCGCTGGGCAACACAGACTTTCAACTCCCTCCAAAGATTTTCTATGGGGTTGAGATCTGGAGACTGGCTAGGCCACTCCAGGACCTTGAAATGCTTCTTACGAAGCCACTCCTTCGTTGCCCGGGCGGTGTGTTTGAGATCATTGTCATGCTGAAAGGCCCGTTTCATCTTCAATGCCCATTCTGATGGAAGGAGGTTTTCACTCAAAATCTCACGATACATGGCCCCATTCATTCTTTCCTTTACACGGATCAGTCGTCCTGGTCCCTTTGCAGAAAAACAGCCCCAAAGCATGATGTTTCCACCCCCATGCTTCACAGTAGGTATGGTGTTCTTTGAATGCAACTCAGCATTCTTTGTCCTCCAAACACGACGAGTTGAGTTTTTACCAAAAAGTTATATTTTGGCTTCATCTGACCATATGACATTCTCCCAATCCTCTTCTGGATCATCCAAATGCACTCTAGCAAACTTCAGACGGGCCTGGACATGTACTGGCTTAAGCAGGGGGACACGTCTGGCACTGCAGGATTTGAGTCCCTGGTGGCGTAGTGTGTTACTGATGGTAGGCTTTGTTACTTTGGTCCCAGCTCTCTGCAGGTCATTCACTAGGTCCCCCCGTGTGGTTCTGGGATTTTTGCTCACCGTTCTTGTGATCATTTTGACCCCACGGGGTGAGATCTTGCGTGGAGCCCCAGATCGAGGGAGATGATCAGTGGTCTTGTATGTCTTCCATTTCCTAATAATTGCTCCCACAGTTGATTTCTTCAAACCAAGCTGCTTACCTATTGCAGATTCAGTCTTCCCAGCCTGGTGCAGGTCTACAATTTTGTTTCTGTTGTCCTTTGACAGCTCTTTGGCCTTGGCCATAGTGGAGTTTGGAGTGTGACTGTTTGAGGTTGTGGACAGGTGTCTTTTATACTGATAACAAGTTCAAACAGGTGCCATTAATACAGGTAACGAGTGGAGGACAGAGGAGCCTTTTAAAGAAGAAGTTACAGGTCTGTGAGAGCCATAAATCTTGCTTGTTTGTAGGTGACCAAATACTTATTTTCCACCATAATTTGCAAATAAATTCATAAAAAATCCTACAATGTGATTTTCTGGATTTTTTCTCTCAATTTTTCTGTCATAGTTGACGTGTACCTATGATGAAAATTACAGGCCTCTCTCATCTTTTTAAGTGGGAGAACTTGCACAATTGGTGGCTGACTAAATACTTTTTTCCCCACTGTATATAAAACTTTGATAAACTTGAAATGATAGTTTGTAAACTTGATAAACAAATATGAATTAAATATCTACCATATTGAAACTGAATATATAAATATTGACTTTGAATATTCAATTAAATTGAAATGTCATTGTAAAACTGAATGTAATATTCATTCAATTCAGTTTGAAATCATGAAATACAAGTTCAATTTATGAATTAAGTGATTACATTTGTGCATTACAAATTAAAAAATATTAAATTCAAATTCTATATCCTAATGCAAGTTCTGTTGGCACTGAAATCGCTCCAAACTCTCTCTCTTTCTCTGGGTAGTGGGCTGGAAAGAAGAGGAGCAGAATTAGATTATTTTATGTAACAGTATGCTGCACTCTACACTGCTGCCACTTGGCATTGACCTACAACGAATGCAGACAAACACACACACAAAAACTCAAGGCACATACACTGGGGAGAACAAGTATTTGACACACTGCCGATTTTGCAGGTTTTCCTACTTACAAAGCATGTAGAGGTCTGTAATTTTTTATTATAGGTACACTTCAACTGTAAGAGACGGAATCTAAAACAAAAATCCAGAAAATCACATTGTATGATTTTTAAGTAATTAATTTGCATTTTATTGCATGACATAAGTATTTGATCACCTACCAAACAGTAAGAATTCCGGCTCTCACCGACCTGTTAGTTTTTCTTTAAGAAGCCCTCCTGTTCTCCACTCATTACCTGTATTAACTGCACCTGTTTGAACTCGTACCTGTATAAAAGACACCTGTCCACACACTCAATCAAACAGACTCCAACCTCTCCACAATGGCCAAGACCAGAGAGCTGTGTAAGGACATCAGGGATAAAATTGTAGACCTGCACAAGGCTGGGATGGGCTACAGGACAATAGGCAAGCAGCTTGGTGAGAAGGCAACAACTGTTGGCGCAATTATTAGAAAATGGAAGAAGTTCAAGATGACGGTCAATCACCCTCGGTCTGGGGCTCCATGCAAGATCTCACCTTGTGGGGCATCAATGATCATGAGGAAGGTGAGGGATCAGCCCAGAACTACATGGCAGGACCTGGTCAATGACCTGAAGAGAGCTGGGACCACAGTCTCAAAGAAAACCATTAGTAACACACTACGCATTCATGGATTAAAATCCTGCAGCGCACGCAAGGTCCCCCTGCTCAAGCCAGCGCATGTCCAGGCCTGTCTGAAGTTTGCCAATGACCATCTGGATGATCCAGAGGAGGAATGGGAGAAGGTCATGTGGTCTGATGAGACAAAAATAGAGCTTTTTGGTCTAAACTCCACTCGCCGTGTTTGGAGGAAGAAGAACGATGAGTACAACCCCAAGAACACGATCCCAACCGTGAAGCATGGAGGTGGAAACATCATTCTTTGGGGATGCTTTTCTGCAAAGGGGACAGGACGACTGCACCGTATTGAGGGGAGGATGGATGGGGCCATGTATCGCGAGATCTTGGCCAACAACCTCCTTCCCTCAGTAAGAGCATTGAAGATGGGTCGTGGCTGGGTCTTCCAGCATGACAACGACCCGAAACACACAGCCAGGGCAACTAAGGAGTGGCTCCGTAAGAAGCATCTCAAGGTCCTGGAGTGGCCTAGCCAGTCTCCAGACCTGAACCCAATAGAAAATCTTTGGAGGGAGCTGAAAGTCCGTATTGCCCAGCGACAGCCCCGAAACCTGAAGGATCTGGAGAAGGTCTGTATGGAGGAGTGGGCCAAAATCCCTGCTGCAGTGTGTGCAAACCTGGTCAAGACCTACAGGAAACGTATGATCTCTGTAATTGCAAACAAAGGTTTCTGTACCAAATATAAAGTTCTGCTTTTCTGATGTATCAAATACTTATGTCATGCAATAAAATGCAAATTAATTACTTAAAAATCATACAATGTGATTTTCTGGATTTTTGTTTTAGATTCCGTCTCTCACAGTTGAAGTGTACCTATGATAAAAATTACAGACCTCTACATGCTTTGTAAGTAGGAAAACCTGCAAAATCGGCAGTGTATCAAATACTTGTTCTCCCCACTGTACATAAAATGCAGGAACAACACACACACAAACAACACGCACACCCATATCCCTCCTTTTCATCTCACTCCCTCTCCCTCTCTCTCTGTCTCTCCCTTCAGATCTTTCTTTCTCGTCTGATCTCTCTCTCTTCTATCTCTCTATCTCTCTGCTCTCTCTCTCTCTCTCTCTCTCTTCTCTCTCTCTTCTCTCTCTCTCTCTCTCTCTCTCTCTCTCTCTCTCTCTCTCTCTCTCTCCCCAATCCTGAAGGAATTGGCAACTCTTCCCCAGATGTCATTGGGGAAAAGCTTTCACACCATCTCTCATTCTGTACAAAACTCTGGCAGCATGTAGGCGGTGGAGTACTCACCCCAGGTAGGGTTTTCTGCTCATGCAATGCATTCTGGGCTTTGATGGCAGAATCCCGGGCGCAGTAGGTGAGAAACGCACAACCTGTCAATCAAAGCAGACCAACAAGGGTTAGTCACACACACACATGAATGCACCCTTGCTCGCAAACGCTCTCTCTCTCTCTCTCTCTCTCTCTCTGTCACACACACACACACGCTTTCTCACTCACACACGGGCACACACTGGTACGTACACACACGCACACTGGCACACACACACACACTGGCACACTGGCACACACACACACACTGGCACACACATGAAGGACACAGCCTAATCCTGTTGATCATGTATGTATAGACTACCAATGTGATGCAAAGACATGAACGTTGTTAAAAAATACATATATATATATACATACAAAATATTCTACATTTTTGTTTGCATCACGACACACTGCGATGGCGAGAGGATAAACCGTAGGCTATGAGCGCAGCTGGCGCAAAACTGTTAACATAGGTATGTAATAATTAGGGCAAGCAAAAAAGTGTTGGGAAGCTACAGTAGCCCTAATTTGCTAAATCATTTACCTGATGTTTAGCCTATATCCCACCTTATTCTGCAAGTCACATGGGGTTTTCAGTAGGAGCCTACAAGGTGCATAGGCTAACACACTATTGCTTAACAGACATCACAAGAGAGAATAGATGAGGAGACACTATCTATCACAAAAAGGTACAAACATGGAATGACTATTGCGTTTCATACAGATGATAATTACAGTAATTACAATTTAACGACCAACTGTAGCTTAAGAGGAGGTGCAGACCCGACATAAAACGCTACCTTTATGCATGCCTGTGTATCGGTCCTTCAGAACAGACAGTTCGTGGATTTTCCCAAACTGTTCAAAGAGAGGTTTCAGGTCTTTTTCCTCGAGGTTCCGCGGAATCTGTCCAATGAAGAGCTTGATGGCGTCCTGGTCTTTCATGGCGCCGCCGTCCGTGTGCATCGAGACAGTTTCGGGTCCGTTCATGGGTTTCGGAACCGGGATGTGCGCGAGTTGATGCTGATGAGGGATAAGTAGGAGCGGCTGCTGTAGAAGCAGGTTGACGGGGGCGGGATGAGTCGGCTGGGGATGATGCTGCTGCTGATCCCTTCTGCTTTCACTTTGCGTAAATCTGGCCATGCTGAGCGGAGAGCAGGTTGGAGGAGAGTGACAACACTCACCCTGAGACACACACACGCTACTGCTGAGAGGGAGAGAGGATGCACTCAGATGGAAACACACACAGGCTTGTTCTGTCCCAATTTCCAATGGCACCTCTTTCACGCTCGGGTTTGATGGAAGGAGGGGGTTGAAGATAATCGTTGGTTCTTGAGCGACACCTCCAGGAGATGATGATGAACTGACTCAGGGATAGACATACACTACATGACCAAAAGTATGTGGACAACTGCTCATTCCAAAATCATGGGCATTAATATGGAGTTGGTCCCCCCTTTGCTGCTATAACAGCCTCCACTCTTCTGGGAAGGCTTTCCACTTGATTTTGGAACATTGCTGCGGGGACTTGCTACCATTCAGTCACAAGAGCATTAGTGAGGTTGGGCACTGATGTTGGGCAATTAGGCCTGGCTCGCAGTCGGCGTTCCAATTAATCCCAAAGTTGTTCGATGGGGTTGAGGTCAGGGCTCTGTGCAGGCCAGTCAAGTTCTTCCACACCAATCTCGACAAACCATTTCTGTATCGACCTCGCTTTGTGTACGGGGGCATTGTCATGGTGAAACATGAAAGGGCCTTCCGAAACTGTTTCCACAAACTTGGAAGCACAGAATCATCTAGAATGTCATTGTATGCTGTAGAGTTAAGATTTCCCTTCACTGGAACTAAGGAGCCGGAACCATGAAAAACAGCCCCAGACCATTATTCCTCCTCCACCTAACTTTACAGTTGGCACTATGCATTGGGGCAGGTAGCGTTCTCCTGCCATCTGTCAAGCCCAGATTTGTCCGTTGGAATGCCAGATGGTGAAGTGTGATTCATCACTTTAGAGAACACGTTTCCACTGCTCCAGAGTCCAATGGCGGCGAGCTTTACACCACTCCAGCCGACGCTTGGCATTGCGCATGGTGATCTTAGGCTTGAGTGCAGCTGCTCGGCCATGGAAACCCGTTTCATGAAGCTCCCAACGAACCGTTGTTGTGCTGACGTTGCTTCCAGAGGCAGTTTGGAACACACAAGCTCACAGATGATTTTGACGCGTTGCACACCTTCAGCACTCTGTGAGCTTGTGTGGCTTACCACTTCGTGGTTGAGCCGTTTTTGCTCCTAGATGTTTACAGTTGACCGGAACAGATCTAGCAGGGCAGACATTTTACAAACTGACTTGTTGGAAAGGTGGCATCATTTGACGGTGCCACGTTGAAAGTCACTGAGCTCTTCAGTAAGGCCATTCTACTGCCAGTGTTTGTCTATGGAGATTGCATGGCCGTGTGCTCGGTTTTACACACCTGTCAGCTAAGGGTGTGGCTGAAATAACCGAATCCACTAATTTGAAGGGGTGTCCGCATACTTTTGTATATGTAATGTAGCATTATAAATGTAAATCCTGGACACTCCAATTATACTGAACAAAAATATAAATGCAACATGCAACAATTTCAAAGATGTTACTGAATTATTTCAAAGATGTTACTGAGTTACAGTTCATATAAGCAGTCAATTGAAATAAATAAATTAGGCCCTAATCTATGGATTTCACATGACTGGGCAGGGGTGCTAGCCAGGCCCAGCCAATTAGAATGAGTTTTTCCCCACAAAAGGGCTTTATTACAGACAGAAATACTCCTCAGCACGTATTTTTGTTCAACTAAAAAGTGGTTTATTGTTATTCATCTATTAATCTATTTTTCGTTTCACATTAGTCTTCTGTTTTTGGTGTGAAATATATCAAGAAGTGTTACCTTCACCCATCAGTGGTAGCTTAATCGGGGGTAGGCGATGAGAGAAAGGAAAATACAGATCTTAATTTGATCACCCTGTTGCAGGAGAACTTTCCTGCAATGCAGGACATTGTTTACTTGTAATGTAATTAAGGAAAAAGTATTCTGAAGTTTGTAATTTCTACTTTGACATTTCAGACTTGATTTTCCCTTATGAAAAATGTATCAACCCCTACACAAATGTCCATTAATTATAATCCACATAATAATTCACATTTCCTGTTGCTGCAGGATTATTTTCCCGATGTAGCAAACTGGCTCAAATTAAGATTCTACATCTGTATGTACAGTGCATTCTGAAAGTATTCAGACCCCTTGACATTTTCCACATTTTGTTACGTTACAGCCTTATTCTAAAATTGATTAAATAGTTTTCCCCCCCTCATCAATCTACACACAATACCCCATAATGCCAAAGAAAAAACCGGTTTTTAGACATTTTTGCAAATTCATAAAATAAAAAAACCGTTAATATCACATTTACATAAGTATTCAGACCCTTTACTCAGTACGTTGTTGAAACACCTTTGGCAGCGATTACAGCCTCGAGTCTTCTTTGGTATGACGCTACAAGCTTGGCACACCTGTACTTGGGGATCTGTGCCTTGTCACAATTCCTTCGACCTCATGGCTTGGTTTTTGCTCTGACGTCCACTGTCAACTGTCGGACCTTATATAGACAGGTGTGTCCTTTTCCAAATCATGTCCAATCAATTGAATTTACCACAGGTAGACTCCAATCAAGTTGTAGAAACATCTCAAGGATGATCAATGCAAAGAGGATGCACTGGAGCTCAATTTTCGAGTCTCATAGCAAAGGGTCTGAATAATTATGTAAATAAGGTATTACTGTTTTTTATTTTTAATTAGTTAGCAAAAATGTCAAAGAAACTGATTTTTGCTTTGTCATTATGGGGTATTGTGTGTAGTTTGATGAGGGAAAAAAAATAATTTAGTCCATTTTAGAATAAGGCTGTAAAGTAATAAAATGTGGAAAACGTCAAGGGGTCTGAATACTTTCTGAATGCACTGTACATATACAGTACCAGTCAAAAGTTTGGACACACCTACTCATTCAAGGGTTTTTCTTTATTTTTACTATTTTCTACATTTTAGAATAATAGTGAACACATCAAAATTATGAAATAACACATATGGAATCATGTAGTAACCAAAAAAGTGTTCAACAAATAAAATATATTTTATATTTCAGATTCTTCAAATAGCTACCCTTTGCCTTGATGACAACTTTGTACACCCTTGGCATTCTCCCAACCGGCTTCATGAGGTAGTCAACTGGAATGGATTTCAATTAACAGGTGTGCCTTGTTAAAAGTTAATTTGTGGAATTTCTTTCCTTCTTAATGCGTGGTATACAGAAGATAGCCCAATTTGGTAAAATACCAAGTCCATATTAAGGCAAAAACAGCTCAAATAAGCAAAGAGAAACAACAGTCCATCATTACTTTAAGACATAAAGGTCAGTCAATCCAGAAAATGTGAAGAACTTTGAACGTTTCTTCAAGTGCAGTCGCAAAAACCATCAAGCGCTATGATGAAACTGGCTCTCATGAGGACCGCCACAGGAATGGAAGATCCAGAGTTACCTCTGCTGCAGAGGATAAGTTCATTAGAGTTACCAGCCTCAGAAATTGCAGCCCAAATAAATGCTTCACAAAGTTCAAGTAACAGACACATCTCATCATCAACTGTTCAGAGGAGACTGCGTGCATCAGGCCTTCATGATCGAATTGCTGCAAAGAAACCACTACTAAAGGATACTAATAAGAAGAAAAGACTTGCTTGGGCCAAGAAACATGAGCAATGGACATTAGACCGGTGGAAATCTGTCCTTTGGTCTGATGAGTCCAAATGTGTCTTTATGAGACACTGTGTCTTTGTGAGATGCAGAGTAGGTGAACGGATTATCTACGCATGTGTGGTTCCCAGTGTGAAGCATGGAGGAGGAGGTGTGATGGTGTGGGGGTGCTTTGCTGTTGACACTGTCAGTGATTTATTTAGAATTCAAGGTACACTTAATCAGCATGGCTACCACAGCATTCTGCAGCAATACGCCATCCCATCTGGTTTGGGCTTAGTGGGACCATCATTTGTTTTTCAACAGGACAATGACCCAACACACCTCCAGGCTGTGTAAGGGCTATTTGATCAAGAAGGAGAGTGATGGAGTGCTGCATCAGATTACCTGGCCTCCACAATCCCCCGATATCAACCCAATTGAGATGGTTTGGGTTGAGTCGGACCGCAGAATGAAAGAAAAGCAGCCAACAAGTGCTCAGCATATGTGGGAACTCCTTCAAGACTGTTGGAAATGCATTCCAAGTGAAGCTGGTTGAGAGGATGTGTAAGGGTTGGTGTGAGGTGTGACCCAGGTGCGGTGCAGGACATACAGTAGGCAGTAGGCAGAGATGGTGAAACAAGGATCTTTACTGGTGGTCCCATAGCCAGAATACAAAATAACAGACTTATCACAATAAAAGAAAGGCGGAACAAATAAGTCTCCAAAAAACATCTGACAGCCAAAATACGAAATACTACCTACGACTGAAACAAGAAACGAAACAAGGAGAACACTTCTCAAGTACCTGTACATAGATCTCCGATCAGACACTGAGTAGTACTGCTAGAAACTAACAGAGAAAACGGAGCAAGGGAACACAAGGAAGTGAGGTCATTAATACACAGGTGAACAGGTAGACACAGGTGACACCAATAGGATACTGATTAGTCCAGACTGTGAGTGAGGAGGTGCCTAAGGTTGTCGGAGGATGACATCTAGTGGGTCGCTCCAGAACTGCAACTCCCTCCTGTAACAGTGCCAACACCCAACCCCCCCCCCCCCCCCACACCCCGACGAACGGCCCCTGCAGTTTACCCCGGCGCCTCTAGATGGAGGCGACGGAATGTTGTTATCAGCCCTGGGTCCAGAATGACCCTCCTGGGCACCCAGGACCGCTCCTCCAGCCCATAACCCTGCCAGTCCAC